ATTATGCTTAAGGACCATTGCCCGGTATTCCTCTCACAGATGTTAACTGGGTATTAAAAATCAAATAATCCGGTAAAAATAAAATTTGTCTTTTCATTTTTAAAATGGATTTATAGAACAAACAAAATGTTAATTTTTTTCGTCGTAAACTAAATAATATTTTCTATGAAAAGGAAACGAAGAAAAAAAGTAACAGGTGGTTTCTTTCTCTGAGATTTGCATCCACTGAACAATACATAAAAAAAGATTTGTCATTGGATAAAATGTCTAGATAAAGTATCTATAATACTTATCTTGCCTTCGGATGTAAGAAATTACGAAACTGCATGTCTTACATAACAGCAATGCAAGATTTAAATAACAAAGTAGTATTTCTTAACGTTATGATTTTGAAATGTGCTCTCTATGTGATTCACTAACTCTCATAATTTGCATAAAGAGCATTTGCTATGCCTACATAAAGTATTTAAAAATTTCAGACTTTGCATACCAAGAATTTTATATTTGATTTTATAACCGTCGTTGAACAGCCGACCCAATTTTGGGTTTTACGACTACTGATGCTCAACTCCGTAGCCTTGTAATTTTGAACCCCATCCAGAAGACAAGGGAACTCCTGGATCAGTATCCCCAGAGGTATGGTTTGTTACGGAAACATGGAGGACTTTGTGACTGGACAGATTCAACGTGCATCAGTCTCCATTACTCGAACGGCTGGGATCTTGTTGGACATGGGCCCAGTGCCCTACTAACCAGGCCTGCATACCAAGAATTGCAAAGCATAGCTGGTAACAAAAATAACACTTAAAAAGCATGATAGCCTGGTAGGTAGGGCACTGGACCCATGTCCAACAGTTGGTGGGATCGATCCCAGCCAGCCGAAGACTCCCCGTGTAGTAAATGGTGACTGATGCACGTTGAATCTGTCGAGTCACAAAGTCCTTCATGTTCCCGTAGCAAATCAATACCCCTGGGGATACTGATCCAGGAGTTTCGTTGTCTTCTGGATGGGGTTCAAAATTACAAGGCTACGGAGTTGAACATTTGTAGTCGTAAACCCATAAAATTGTGTCGGCTGTTCAACGACGGTTATATGAAATAAAAACATTTAAATAAAGAAAATTATTTTTTAATGCTGTAGACAGCCCATAAAATCTTACATTACAACAAAAGATATTGTTTTTTATTTTAAAATTATTATTATTGTTATTATTGTTAATGATTTTTACGTTCAAGTTTGTAAATGCAATCCTCTGACAAGGCAATGCAAATAACTCAACCACAAGTTCCATTGACTTTGATGAGGCGGCACTGGTAGAGGGAAAGGGGGGAGGAGAGACAGCAAACAAGGCAACGGTTAATGACTCGGTAAATATGGTTTTGTGTGAGAGATCAACCCCCCTCCTCCGGGCAATAAGCCGTTCTTTCCTTCTGTTGAGTACTTAACACAGTCCGATCGATTGTTGAGTGAGACGCCTTTTATCCCGCAATCTTCTATATTCATGAGAAGTTCATACAAATAAAATAAAGGGAAAGTATTAAAAAAATGGATTAGTTTTAAATAAAGATCAAAATGCGAAATAGTAGAAAGCAAAATTAAGTAATGAAATTAATGATGTTAAATTAAAAGAGTGACTAAATATTAAACGTCGAAAATGTACCTCGTGTACATTTTTATTATTTTATAATTTTATGACCGAATTTTCAATTTGCGGATACCAATGTCCCTAGTAATTTTGAACCCAATATAGAAGACGAGGGAACTCCTGGATCAAGTATAGGGAGACATTTTGCTTTCGTGAAGGTCTTTTTGGTGGAACTAACCCGTTACATGGAAGAGGAAAACTACAAAATCTCCCACGGTTAGCCTGACGAAAAGGAGACTCTAACACACGAGCCATCTACCACTAGGGATATTTTACTGCAGCACTGTGGTAGGTGCAAGCGCGTGCGGAATTCAAATCAGCCAGTCACTGCCGAGATACAAACCCGGGAAGCATTGGGAGGCAAGCGCTCTGTACCCTGAGCCACCACGGCACATTTTTATTGTTATAATCATTTATTGTACTATCTTTTTTAATAAATATGGAACTATTGCGATTATTTTAAAAAAATTTAAAAATTACTTTATATCACGCTTATTTCTTAAAATTTTTCTTCCAAATGTGCCTTGCAATTTTCACTACATAAAGAGAAACTCTTGAAAAGAAATACCAAACATTATTAATATCAACCGTTTTTTTTTCTTTTTAACCGATTGAAATTTTTAATTTTTAAAAAGTTTCCACTTTTTAAAATGCTACAACTCTGGTCACTGGCTTGTCGGAAAATATTCTAATTTTGCCCTATGCGAGTGCTATTTGTACATTTTCAGGAAAAGTAATATAGCATTGAACCTTAATATTGGTAAATTGAACTCTAATAGGTTGTTGTTGTTGTTGTTAATTTACGTCGCACTAGAGGTGCACAATGGGCTATTGGCGACGGTCTGGGAAACATCCCTGAGGATGATCCGAAGACATGCCATCNCTTTTTTTTTTTTTTTTTAACCGCTTGAAATTTTGAATTTTTTTAAAAGTGTCCAATTTTTAAAATGCTACAACTCTGGTCACTAGCTTGTCGGAAAATGTTCAAATTTTGCCCTATGCGAGTGCTATTTGTACATTTTCAAGAAAAGTAATATAGCATTGAGCCTTAATATTGGTAAATTGAACTCTAATAGGGTGCAAATTTACTGCAACTGAACCATTTTCCCACTTAAGTTGAACCGTAGTATCGTGTCATCATGTTTAAAAACTACCATAGCACAGCTCAACTAAACAACATTTTAACGTTGCAACAAATTTCAACGATAGTCTGGTTTATTATGTTTCGAAATTCTTAACAGTATAACCTTACTAAATTTCCATAAACTGGCATTAGCGAAAAATTTTGATGTTTGATTCCTTTATTGAACAATAAAGATTCGAAATTTATATTTTGGCGCTTATGGGTACCTTTTTTGGACAAGGTACACACTGTAGAAAAAAGAAGGATTGATAAATCTTTAACCAGTATTTAGTGCAAAGTTTCTCATTACCCCGAAGTTTAGTTAAATGAAAGATCATTTTGTTTAAGTTACACCATAAATTTTGAGGTATGATCGAGAAATACTTCTATGGTGCAACTGACTGCACTAACACAAAATAAAAGTACTAACACAAAAAACACAAAACTTTGACGGTGACTGTAAACTGAACGACGTTTCAAGCGATGAACTAGATCATTTATTTGAAAACTATAATAACAAGATCATTCATTTGAAAACGATAATAAGTTAAAAACGGTGAACTAGATCATTCATTTGAAAACGATAATAAGTTAAAGGCGGTGAACTAGATCATTTATTTGAAAGCGACAATAAATTAAAAAGCGATTGGTGATCTAGTTACGCCACTGATGGTTTTTCTGTTTTGTTCTTTGATATGATGTTCTTATTTGCTAACACTATTATGTTTAAAATAATTAAAAGTTGTTAAGTTTTTTAACGTTGGTATTGGTAGTTTTTTTAAAAAAATAGTTGTGTTTTAATCAGTACTAGTACGTGTTTTAACACGATATTTGTTTACGACGGCATGTTTTCTTTACAACTCGGTTTCGGACGACTAATGCATGTTGTTTCAAGTTTCCAGCTATTAGGTTGGTAAATGTTTTATTTGCATTAATTAAAGTTCATTTATATTATGTTGTCTTTTTAAATTTGGTTGTGGGTATAAAATGGTTAGACGTATGTCATAAAATAACTTACTTACGTACCTAATTAATACTTACCTAATGATGGTGCAACCTTCCTCTATTTTTATAAAAGAAGAAAAAAAAGAAGGAAGGAAAATAGGTGTTTTGTTTCTTCAAAACACCTACTTTTGGTGCAACCTTTTACTGATATTTGGAGCTAGTGAAAATACCAAAATATGGTGAAATTCAGCTCCAATTTATGTAGCTAGGAAATAAATACTAATTTTTGGAGCAACGTGGCTTGGAATTTTTAACAGTGCAGTGCTCAAAATAAAAAATGGATCACCCTTAATAACTTTTGATCTAAAGATCAGATCTTCACGTTCTAGGACTCATTCTTCAAAGGGATGATCTTAAATATGTTAATTAATTAGAGCAGACGATATTTTAAGTTACAAAATCAGACACAAAAACGTACTGCTCCTTCATAAACATACTTTTTTTTCCTGACGGATTTGAATTTCTGACTCCCAAAAAAATATAGGAGGTAGATGCAATCTGGGAAATATGGTCCCCATAGTTTGGTCAGGAAAGCGATCCAAAATTTGGATGTTGATGTTAATTTTAATTTTTGTATATTTTACCGAATCTCGAGAAATTTTTAAGCAAATTGAAAAATTTTTGCACGCAATTATAAAATTCGTTTATCCAAAGAAAATTCCATGCAAAAAATAATTTTTGGTAAGTATTGATTATTTTTTATTATTTTATTAAATAATGGTCGAAGAAACAATACGAAAATAATGTAAGATATACAATTTTTTGCATCATTTAATACTTAAGAATGCAATTTCATATCACTAAATTCAAAATTTGAGTAAAATCAGTCGAACAGCTCCTGAGAATTTTTAAGGTTGAGCCCCAGAACGTGAAAATCTGATCATTAGATCAAAAGCTATTCAGGGTGTTCTGCTTATTTTTCTTTTCTTTTTTCTTCTTTTGTTTTCATTATGCGAACTTTACAAATTTTCTGGTCTGGTCGATCTATTTCTGATAAAAGAATTATAAATAAATGTCTAAAAGAAAACCATTTCAATTTTAAAAGTTGCTCTCACTCGAGAAAAAACTAAATTTTTTCATTTTTATAAAATCTTTAATTATAAAACACAATTGCATTGGTTTGAAGAAAGCTTGTTTCAGTACACATTAGTAAAGCAAAACTTTTGTTTTGGGGGGGAGGGGTCAATCGTTTGGAGGGAACCAACATTAGTATGTTTAAAACTTACATTTCGCAGGGTCCAGTGTGTCCACCCTGATAGATGCTGAAGGAGCCGGCATTCAATTTCATCCTCTCCCTGAAATCTTCAAAATAAAAGAAAAAGCCAAAAGTAAAATAAGAAGAAAAGAATCAAATAAAACAAACATTCCATGAAAATAAAGAATAAATACATGCAAAAATAATTCAATACAGAAAGGCAAAATATAGGAAAATCAAAATCATAATCAAAATAATATAACTTCAAATTAAAACAACTAAAAAATGCTTGTTAAAAAATAAAATAAGATTAATTTTTCTGAAAAATTTTTTTCTTCGACGCATCTTCAAAAACGGGTGTAAAGAACGTTTAGTTTCACATAATTAATTCCACAGATTTGACAAAAAACGAAATAAATAAAAGGGGTCGTGTTAATTTTCGACCGAACTTCTGCTTGAAATTAGAACAATTGTTTTTCTTTAAAACCTTAGGTTTTCCGAAAACTTAGGTCGAAAATCTATACATCAAAGTGGGAGGGGGAACGTGTTGGCAGAAATGGCATTAATGTGTTCTAACTTATTCAGAAGTAGCATATAATTCAGAAATAAAATTGGCTAATTAAAAAATTTAAGAGAAACTTTGGGATTATCCCGTCAACCATTTTCGCCAAGCCCGATACTATCACCAAAATCCGATATTATCGCCAAATGATTTATAATAATATATATGGTCAGATCAATGAGTAATTATAAAAAAAATAGAAGTTTTTACTTTGTTTTGATTCTTTTTAATACTTTTTTATTATGTATTTTTACACTTCCATTTTTTTTACTATAATTTATTTTATTATTATTCTTTGATAAATTTAATGTGTTAAGAATGTTTATTTTGGAAATTGCTTTTCATTGTGATGGCGCCAAAGGATTTGTGCATTTTTGCGTACGTTGACAGGTCGACGGGATATTACCAAAGTACCATTTAAGTCCCACTGATCGTAAAACACAGTTCTCAGTAGATCATTAAAGTCAAGGCTGATTGGCTGCGATTCGTGAACCGGTGGATCAGCCTGTGAAGAGACCGAGAGAGCGCAGTATCTGTCCTCGTTAAACTGATCTATCGTAAAATGCCGGACTTCGCGCGTATGTCTTTGGGTTATCAAAGTGGTGAAGCCATCCTATCAACAAAGGATTAAAATTATGATGGCATGTCTTCGGACCATCCGGATGGTTTATCGCAGTAAGCCTACGAATATTCAGTCTGAGTATTTCTTCACACATTTCCTATTTAGCCTGAAAATACATAGGCTTGTTGCATCAAGCCTAAAATCATCATACAGATAAGAAAATATTGAAGATTTTTCCAAACAGCATGGTGCATTTTACAACCGTCGTTGAACANTAGCTTATCATATACATTTCAAAATCTAGTCTTGTTTTCTCAACTACATTTTTTGTCTCAAATTTAATGCCTAGCTTGAGCCTATGGCTTTATTTATTTTACTTTATTTATTTATTACTTTGCGAGTATATTTTACTTACAATATTAGATGGTTTTCGTATGGGGGGGGGGCGCTAAAAAGGTATTGTGCCCCGGGCGCGAGTTAAGCTCGCTACGGCACTGCGCGTATGTCTTTGGATTATCAAAGTGGTGAAGCCATCCTATCAACAAAGGATTAAAATTATGATGGCATGTCTTCGGACCATCCGGATGGTTTATCACAGTAAGCCTACGAATATTCAGTCGGAGTATTTCTTCACACATTTCCTATTTAGCCTGAAAGTAAATAGGCTTGTTGTATCAAGCCTAAAATAATCATGCAGATAAGAAAATATTGAAAATTTTTCCAAACAGCATGGTGCATTTTATTACCGTCGTTGAACATGCCGACCCAATTTTTTGGGTTTAAGGCAAAAGAACTTCTGAATCAAGTATTGGAAGAAATTTGCCTTCGTGGAGGACTTTTTGATGGAACTCACCTGCATTTGAGTTAAATGTGGAGAAAAACCACGAAAACCCAACATGGTTAGTCTGTCGGCAAGGGGACTCTAACCCATGAACCGTCTACCACCGAGGATATTTTTACGTCAGCACTGTGGTAGATGCAAACTGGTTGCAATATCCGTATCGACCAGCCATCGCTCCGAATCGAACCCGGATCCACGGCTTTATGAAGGTTTATACTTTAACCGTTGTTGAACAGCCGAACCAATTTTGAGTTTATGACTACTAATATTCAACTCCGTAACCTTGTAATTTTGAACCAATCCAGAAGACAAGGATACTCCTGCATCAATACCCCCAGAGGTATGATTTGTCATAGGAACGTAGAGGACTTAGTGACTCGCAGATTTATGGCGCATCAATCACCATTTACTACATGGGGAGTCTTCGTCCTGTGGTGATCAAACCCACGACCTCTAGGACATGAACCCAGTGCCCTACCAACCAGGCTATCTCGACCCTATGTAAAATTAAGCATAAAATATGAAGGTTTATAACTATAAGCCTACGAAAATTCAGTGTGAGTATTTCTTCCACTCTTCCTATTTAGCCTAAAAGTACGTGCACTTGTTGTTATCAGGTCTAAAATTATCGTGCAGATTAGGAAATATCGAAGATTGTTCCCAAATAGCAATGTGCATTGCAAAATATCAGATTTTTCAAATTAGCCTGTAAACATACTCATCAAATCAACTGTTCACCAAAGGGTCAGATCAGCATTATTTCCTTAAACATTTGAGGAACTCCGCTTTTCAAATAAATAAATGTGTCATACATTAATAACATAAACATTCATCTCAACTAGTGTTAACAAAATGTCATTTTACAACTGCCTTTTCCACCACCTTTTTGCCCTTTCCCCCTTCCTCTGACTCTGTTCTGCTTATATAGTGTGTCTCAAAGGTACTTTTAAAAAGGACTCCCCCCCCCACCTCACCCCCTTTCTACTTGGAGGTGTGCGCACACACACACATTGAAAGAGGAGAACATTGTGTTGTTGGCCGAAGGGCATGCGCCTCTCTCCTCCCCTCCTCCTTTTCGCTTTCAACTTAGGGGAGAAGGAGGGGTATGGGTGGGGGAAAGAAGCAAGGATGAAGATGCTGTTTTGTAGTGTCTGCTAGGGAGGAATGATCAATGATGTTAACGCCTCCTCCCTGACACCCCTCCCCCCACACACACTCCGGAGAGGAGAATATTCGATCCCTTTCTCCTGATTATCCCTCAATATTCATTTCTGGACACTCTTCTTTTATTTCTTTAATTTTTTTACATCTTTCGTTGCACATGGTGTAGAAAGAATTTTAAAAAAATAGAAAAAAATTGCAACCTCCATTATAATCATTTCTGGATTTTTCAGGCCTTCAATTTCCGGGACAACAAAATGGTGTTGGCGTGAATACCGAGTGGTCGATCTTTAACTATTTTTAAGCTGCAAAGTTTAGTTTAATTCACATTAATACATAGTTTTTAAGTGCTATACCAACTTAGTGCTATTAAAGGAAAAAGCGTTATTAGAAGGAAAACATCAATGATTCTTAAAATGAACAAAATTCGTTTTCCTTTAGTACGTGTCTCAAAAACATAACTACAATCACAAGTAAACAAATTTCACCCGGCGTTTCTATATTTTTTTCTTCTCCATACGGGTAATTCTAGCCAGATTCTCATTCCAAAATTCTTAAAGGTCCCATCAAAACATTTTGATGGTTTAAGTTGGTTTCAATGTGACTCATGAGGGTCCAACATCATTTGATGGTCACCACCATCCAACATTTTCCATTACGTGCTCATGGTTTTTGACATGCCAACAAACTTCCATCATTACATAAGATTTAGGCCTGAATTTTTTTTAACCTATTTTTTTTCTTTTAAATCAGATTTTTTTTTCTATTTACCAATCAAAGTTCTGTTAAAATACATTGATAATTCTCAATATTTTTTTTAAACGCTACTTCAACTCATTATTTCTAACTGAAGTGGTTAAGAATAATTGTCTAATTATTATTGACTAATCAATGAAAAAATAAAATCATAATTACCTTTCCTTAAACTAAACACCCTCATAAGTTTGTGAAAACAAAGACCCAATTTGTGAGTTAGATATTAAAAAAGGAATAAATTAATTCAGATAACTAAAACGTCAGCAAAAAACATATTCTAGATTTTCCGCAGCAGAGCAATCACTCTTTTTTCATTAATTATACACATAAACTACTTATTTAATAAGTTTTAGAAGTGCTTGCTTTTAAATAAATATAATACAACATGATATGATATGATATGATATGATATGATATAACAATTAAAGTGATTAAATGAAACTGGTCTTCGAAACAGAAAATTAATATAGCTTAGGGAAAATTATTTAAAAAGTTTCTGAGAATATTTTTCTAATGATTCACCTAATACTAAGAAAATTTAGAAAAATAAAAAACTAAAGCTCCTTTTAACATATTCAAAAGCATCAGCAAAATAAGTAAATAAGTATAGATAAATAAAGATAAATCGGAATTCTCTCTCTCTCTTTTTTTTTTTTTTTTNATACTATCAAACTCACAAATGGACCAATCAGAGGTTAGCGCTGATTTCCAGCTGACGGCGTCCTGTCCTAAGAAACCAGGCCTTTTAGGGAAAATTATTTAAAAAGTTTCTGAGAATATTTTTCTAATGATTCACCTAATACTTAGAAAATTTAAAAAAATAAAAAAATAAAGCTCCTGTTAACATATTCAAAAGCATCAGCAAATAAATAAATAAGTATAGATAAATAAAGATAAATCGGAATTCTCTCTCTCTCTCTCCCTCTTTNACTTTTTTTTTTTTTTTTTTTTTAACTGAAGGAAATTTTTAAGCATTGAACAATATACAATTATTATTTAACGAGCAGGGGGCGAAGCCTCCTAGTTATTATTTAATAGCTAAATTATTATTCAATAGCTATTCTGTAACTCTACAACTTTTCTAAAAAAAAGAAAAAAGTTCTGCCTTGTGGCTATGACACTCAATTGTCATTAAGAACTCTGGTTAAATCTACGGAAGCTAAAAGCGATCGGCACGTAATATTGACCCCATAGCCATTGATCACGAAATTATGGAGTCTTAATG